TGAGCTGAAGAAGAAGAAGAAGAGGAACGGGAGGAACTGAGAAGAAGAATAAGATCATACCTTTGTGTCATATTTCATTGTGTTCTATTATTTATTTTAGAGAAAATATTTATGGTCTATTCATTATTTTTGAGAAAATACTCTCTCTTTATGTACATTTTCTTTTGACTTTTTTACGTTTCTTCTTTATGTGGATTTTTTCTTTTCCATATTTTAAGTCATCTTACGTGTACATATGTGTAAAGTTGTAATATTCTGTTAGGAAGTTGTAATATTCTGTTAGGTGATTAGTTTTGTAGTTAAAAACCGTGTAACGTTTTTTGGTCTCTGTCCTGTATAAAAGGCAGAGTTGTGTACTTATTCTAATTAATCAAATGAGAATCAATTACACATTCTTCAAATAACCCGTATTATGGCATCAGAGCAATTTTCCGCTACCTAGTTTCTTCATCGGAGATTTTTGTCGGATCCTTTCAGATTTCTTTGCCGGATCTTTCAGATTTCTTCGCTGTTCTTCATCAGGTTTTGTTCCTAATTTTGTTATTCTTTCTCTGTCGGCTTGATCAGTATTCATGAATTCTTCAGCGACTACTTCGGATCTCTCGTCCAATGGCCGATTCGCCATTGACGATCCTTCAAGTCTGTATTTCCTCCATCACTCCGATAGTCTGGGACTGTCGCTTGTTTCTCAGCCTTTAACTGGAGACAATTACACTTCTTGGAGCCGAGCTATGTTAATTGCTTTGTCTGTGAAAAATAAACTAGGGTTTATCTAGGTGATTAGTTTTGTAGTTAAAAACCGTGTAACTCTTTTTGGTCTCTGTCCTATATAAAAGGCAGAGTTGTGTACTTATTCTAATTAATCAAATGAGAATCAATTACACATTCTCCAAATAACCCGTATTACCATATGGTATGATCATGTTTCCTATTTAGTGTGATGTGTTTTTAGTGATTTTCCGTGAGTGTTATTTCCCATTTTTTTGCTCTTCATATTCATTATTATATCATCATTTTTTAAATGAAAAGACTCATTTTTTTTCCATTTCATTTTTCTTCATTTGTTCGGATTTCAATGGTTATTTAAATGTTATTTTGTTATTACTGTCAAGTCTGTCATTTCATTTTTCTTCATTTGTTATTACTTTATTATTTTAGAGAAAATATTTTCTTTATGTTCATATTTTCGTGTGAGTTTTTATATTTCTTCTTTATTGTAATGTTTTTTAATGATTTTCTGCGAATTATATTACTTATTTGTTTTGCTTTATATTTTCATTATGATCTAATTATTATTTTAGTGAAAATAATTATTCTTTCTATACATATTTTTGGTTAGATTTTTATTTTTTCTTTCATTACGGTCTGATTATTTTCCTTCTTTAATGCAGTGTTTTTTGATGATTTTTTGTGTGAATAATATTACGTTTTGCTTTGCTTTTCCTTTTCATTATGGTCTGATAATTATTTTAGTGAGAATTATTTTTGTACATATTTTCATGAGTTTTTTGGTTTTTGACGGTTGTAGAGTTTTTAGGGCTGCCTTTTTTTTTTTGTGTTTTTAATGCGCAGATAATTTGTTCTTTTGTTTTTTCTTTCCTTTTTATGTTTAAATAAAAGAGTTGACTTCTCACTAAACAATTTCATTAAATGTAATTGTTGTGGTTTCTACAGTAATTGACTTTTCTATGTTAAAAATCTATAATGTTTGTTTAAATTTTGTCTCACTTTTCGTACCTTTTTATAGTTTAATTATTTCTTTCATTTTTCATTATACGAGCATAAAAATGTCTTTTAAAGATGTGATAGACGATAGAATTATCGAAAAAGTAGTCAATTTTTAAAAGAAGGTTCACCGGATCGGCATTTATGTTGGGTAGCCCAATTCACGGTCCTGGACCATTACCCATTTTCTATCTCGGCCTGAGGACATTTGTGCAAAAAGCACAAGCTCATTATCAGCTAAATATTGAGAATTTTCGTTTGCATTTTTTATGCTCCACCATACATTATTCAAACCGAAAGAGATACAACCACGAGTGGTTGACAGCTGGTACAAAATAAAGAAAAACAATCACCATGGTTATTATTTTGCTTCGAGAAAGGAAACCACGCTCTGTAAAAGTGCTGCAATATACTAACTAATTTGAAAGAAGTTAAAAGAAAATATACAACCCCACTTCATTTGGACTGCGAAAATATCCTAATACATATGCAGCCCAGACAAACAGGTCAATGGCCGGCGCCGATTTCGCTTTCGGCTCCTTTTGCTCGTGTTTGAATAAAAATATATAAAAAAAAACTAATATATATCATTTGCATGATAAGCAAAGCAAAATATAATTATAAATACGCATTGCGATTATGCGAAACTATAATGATTCATTTAAAGTTCAAATTATATTTTGCTTGAAATAAACATGATAAAGTGTTATTAATGCGCATGCAAACTCGTGTTGCATGAGTTAAAAGTGCATGTTTAGTTTTGGATGGAACTTGGGATACAAATCAATGAGTTATGAATATATATATTGTTGGTAATGGTAGCAAAGGCGTAAGGACAAAGAGCACGCGCAGTATGAGAAGTAAAAAGCTATAAACCACCAATTGGTGTTCCGTGGCCAATAATCACAGAGGTGAGACCAGCATATCACACGCGAGAGGGCAGGCACGTGATTGTGTCGGGAAATTCTGACTGTTTTCTCTTCTAAGTTTGTCATTCCCCACTTTTTTCAAAGTTACCGCTGCGTAGAAATTGATGCCCTCTTCTGCTGTGCTGCTGCTGGGACCAGCCCCATTCCCCTCAGCTCTATTTCCAAACTTAATACCAACTCCAAGTCTCCAACCCCCACGCGCGCGTTACATTTTCGAAAATAAAGCACTTTGTTTTTTTTTTTGTTTTTTTGTTTTTTAGGTAGCCCACTAGCCCTGGAATATAATTCGTTTGGTTTATTTATTCAGAATCATGATTTATAATCATTCTCATTTTATGTGTATTTTTTTATAAGAGAAAATACTGTAGAGAATCATGAATCATGATTCAGAATCAATGATAAATATAGGAAACAAACGTGAGTTCTTTTACAACAAAACACATAAAAAATTTAAATTTGAATTATAATTTTATTTAAGTTCATGTGTTTTTATAAAATTTAAGTTTGAGAGGCTAAACTCGAGTTCAAGTTTCTCCTTCAACTTAAGTTCATAAACTCAAACTCAAATTAATGAATAATATTTTTTCTATTATTAAAAATGTCATAACTTTTTCGTTTTAATTCTAATTGAGATGATTTTTTTTCTATCCATTAACAATGAAAAGATGAATAAAATCTCACATGTATACCTATTAAAATTTTTCATCACCATTGAGTTTTTATTAAAAAACTATATAAATACAAATTTAAGTTTTGACCCACTCAAATACAAACTCAAATAGATTCTCAATTGAAATCATAACTCAAATGTGCACATCCAAACACAAACTCAAGTTACAATTTCAACTCAAATTATAATTCAAATTCAACTCAAAATCATCACTCAAATCATCATAACTCAAAAATGTAAAAGAACGTTATTATAATAATAATAATAATAATTTTATTATTATTATTATTATTAAAGAGTTTCCCTCGTAGTTTTTGAAAAAATAGACTATTAATAATCTTTTACTTTTCAACCGTTAAATTTATATTAATTTTTTTTATTATGTATTTTTTTATTTAATATGATTTTAATTAAATATAACGGTTAAAAACTAGGCCTCTCGATAGACCGGCTATCAGAGAAGATTCCTTATTATTATTATTATTATTATTATTATTATTATTATTATTATTATTATGCTAAATACAAATCTCAAGTTGGTTTGCTGTTGTTACGCAATCCTTCAAAATGAAGAGACAGAAATAGAACATGCGAGTATCACCTGAGGATGAATTTAAAATTAGCGTTCTTTTTTATAGTCTCATTTAAAAAAAAAAAAAACCTAAAAACATAGTTCTAAAAAGAAAATATATATTTCCCCTAAAAAATGAAATATATATTCAGCATTATTTGCTTCTTTCCACAGAGTTCAAAATCCTAAAACCCATGACCTGTTAAACGTCTCATATTAAAGTTATGTACATCTCATATCTCATCTCATATTCTTCTCATTTCATACAAGCTTTTTAATCATGCATTGTGAAGATGTACTAATATTTAGACCATTTTTTCCTGCTTTGTATTAAAAATCAAAAAAAGAATTTATAAGAAGAAGAGATTTAATATGGTTTGCTAATGTGTTTATATATACAAACTAGTAAGACACGTAAAGTTCATTAGTAAGGAGCATATGTAATAGTACATATTGCAATCATAGAATTTATTAAATTAACTAAAATGATCAAATCTCTCAAAATCAAGAGATTGCTTTATTTAAAAACTGATACAAACAAATTCAAACTTCTAATAAAGTAATTATATATAACATATAAACTTTTCTTAATACTTTCAGCCTCTTAATACTAATTTACTTCTTAAACTCTTCTGTCGGTGCTCGCAAACTGAAATATCCTCTGATAAAGTGCCAGTAATTCAAGATTAACAGTGTTCATTAAAAAAAAAAAAAGAAGCATATTAGCATGTGTGTCATTTAAGATTGGGAATAATAAGAAGGAAATGCTGAAATCAAAACTATAGGAACTCCCAATGTTTACGTGCCGGTCATCGCGTGAAGATCATTTGGGACCGGCAATTCCTGAAACCACAATTCGGGCCCACTTGACCCCTGAAACATGATTAATTCTTCAGCCACCATCCGATTGACTCATTGACTTGCACAACCTTACACGTCACCTAGCGCATGATTTTTTACCCCTAACCACCTGAGACCTGGCCCACACCATAACCTAACCTATTCCCTCCCTCACAGAACCTCCCATATTTATACAAACCATTGTACTGTACAGTGTACACTTCCAATCCTGTCCCACGCTTGCTATCATCAATCAAAATTAATAACTGCTCAGTTTCACGACCAAAACTGTGGGTCCAGTAGATCAACGGCTAAGATCACATTTGTGCAAACTTTCATGTTATATAAAACAATCGTTTCACTTCACCAATCGGACTCTGCAAAAATAATACCTGGAGTCACAAACCTAAAGAAGAATAAAAATAAAAATAAAAACAAAAACGAATACATAACAAATTAAAATTAAATTAAATACTTATTTTTTTCTTGCTTTCTAATTTCTATTATTGTTGTCTTCTCGTACTAAACATCTCATCTATTTGAAGCCACTTTGTTTTCCGCGAAGAGATCAGTGTGGACTGTGAAGTAGTGAAAGTAGCGACAACAATGGAGGAGAGACCAGAGACGGAGCTGATATCGATTCCGGCGACGCCACGTGGCGTGTCGACGCCGGAGATACAGACGCCGACGGGGCAGAGGTCGCCGAGGCCCGCGTCGAAGGAGGCGAAGTCGTCGACGGCGTGGACGCCGACGTCGTTCATATCTCCTCGGTTCCTGAGCCCGATAGGGACGCCGATGAAGAGGGTGCTGATAAACATGAAGGGCTACTTGGAGGAGGTGGGCCATCTCACGAAGCTCAATCCCCAAGACGCATGGCTTCCAATCACCGAGTCTCGCAATGGGAATGCTCACTACGCTGCGTTCCACAATCTCAATGCCGGGGTCGGATTTCAAGCTCTGGTTCTTCCTGTCGCTTTCGCTTTTCTTGGCTGGTATGTATGGGTTTAATCCTTATTCCTGTTTTTTTTCTCAATCTTACTTCTTTTGCTAAAACTTGTGTATCTTTCGTGAAATCTTAATCAACGTTTTTATTCTAAAAATATATTTGTTTCTTGTTCCGTTTCCCTTTAAAGTAAATATTTCACATTGGAATGAACTATGAAGGCCTCATAGCATTTTGCCCAGGCTTCTAAAAATGCATTTATGGTTACCCAGTCCTGATTTAAGTGTTTTTTTTTTTAATATAAATATCTTCATGGTTTTAAGGGAAAAAAAGCTCATTTGCTTTTTTTCCCGTTGAGAACTCATCCTTGTTGATGCATTATCACTTTGCTCTGTTACAATCCAAGATAGGATGTTCTTTGATTTTTTTTGTTTCCACGTAAATCATGTTAAAGAGTATCATGTGTTGTTTTAAAGGCCAAAAAAAAAAAAAAAAAGTCTGCCTTCCTATGTCTTGTTTACATTTCTTTAATCATGCAATTGCTATACTGAATATAGTGTTACTGTATACATCTGGTCGCAGTAATTTTGAATTATGTCTCGCCTTCCGGGATAAATATATATATATATATATATCTATTTTCTTTCATTTTTATCAAAGTTAATCATAGATTTGATTTGGACATGAATGGAAGATCCTTTAGACAAATCGTTTCGTCCCTTTCTCTTTTGCTTTTTCCACAAGTTCAATGTTTCTGGAGAAATATCATCAATACTACTGCCTACTGGGGCCACTAATAATTCTGTCATTCTTTCATGATCTTTTTTTTTTTCTTTTTTGGGCTAGTGACATTCTTTCATGATATTAGGACATAGGTTTTTTCTTTCTTTTTTTTTTTTGGCAAATGACATTCTTTCATGATATTAAGACAGAGGGCCCTTTATTCTTTGATTATTACACCTTTTGCTTTTCATCCTCTTAACGATTTTTTTTTTTTGACTTTTAAATAGTACACTAAAGTTCTACCATGTGCAGCCTAAGATACTCTTTTATTATTCGTTTTTCAACTTTTGTCCCTTCCTTTTATATCAAATTATCTTTTCCAATTTGCTATAGCCATGAAAAACAACAAATAAGCTTTTACTTTAAATTGAATTGACCACAATATGAAACGTAGTAATCAGCAGATAACACTGTTTTCATCAACCGAACTCCTTGAAATATAAGTGGCGTTCGCAGTGGGCTCCACAGAAACCATTTTCTTTCGAGCTTCAATCTCATTGCTAATCAAACACTGTGCCAAAAGTTTTGGCGCATGTATTTGATCTCAAAGAGGACCAGTGTAATTAGAAATTTTGTGAAAAAGGAGGATTAGAAGATGGATTAGCTAGCTGTCATATCAAAATCTTATTGGCTGCTTTATAAAGATTATTACGATCCATTGTGGAACAAAGATGTCTTATTCACTTTGTTTGCCGTCTATAATTATGTTTACAGGAGTTGGGGAATACTTTCCTTGACTATAGCCTACTGTTGGCAACTTTACACGTTGTGGGTCTTGGTTCAGCTTCATGAAGCAGTCCCAGGAAAGAGATACAACCGATACGTAGAACTTGCACAAGCTGCATTTGGTAAGCCTATACGTATATTCTGTTAGTTTACTAAAGCATCCTAAATGCTTAAGCTATTATGACAATGGGCAATCATGTGAGTAAATATTAATAAAAACACAACATGTGAATATTAAATAATAAACCTAAAACATGTCAAAGATTCAACGCGTGATGATAATTTAGAGAGTATAGTTGCATCTAATACCATGATAGTTTATCAACCCACTCTAAAAACTTAAAATGTTAGGAGGTGGGTCAATAATAGCTATTCTATTTAATATATGTATGTGTATTTATGTATGTACATACTTTCACGTTGAAGTTCAATTACTTGAAACCCTACCACAATATTGGAGACTCTTATATAGAATTGCTGGCAGAGGTATTTAAAGAAACATTATTTAGGAACCATGATCGAACTATTTCAACCAACATGTTTTGTAATTGTAAATTTTATACAGAAGTAGTAATGATTTGCTTAAAGCTGAACATCCTCTCACTAATAGAACAAGAAAGGACATTGGTGAAAGCTGAAAGGTCTTTTGGCATACATGTGACACCTTGGTTTTGTTCCCGTTCTTTCATTTTATAACCTCCTACAATCCTATGAATCAAGCAATACCTAATATTGTAGTAATTCCTTGACCAAATAACTTTAGTTGATGAGCTGTCTTTCCTTTTGCAGGGGAAAGATTAGGTGTTTGGCTTGCACTCTTCCCAACTGTCTACTTATCTGCTGGAACGGCAACCGCTTTGATTCTCATAGGAGGAGAGACCATGAAACTATTCTTCCAGATAGTTTGTGGGCCCCTCTGTACATCAAATCCCTTAACAACAGTGGAGTGGTATTTGGTGTTCACTTCTTTGTGCATCGTCCTGTCTCAGCTCCCAAACCTTAATTCAATTGCAGGACTATCACTTGTAGGAGCTGTTACGGCCATAACTTACTCAACAATGGTTTGGGTCCTCTCTGTGAGCCAACAAAGGCCTCCTGCAATTTCTTATGATCCCATTTCATTGCCATCGTCTACTGCTTCCGTCTTTTCGGTTCTGAACGCTCTTGGAATTATAGCCTTTGCTTTCAGAGGGCACAATTTAGCCTTGGAGATTCAGGTATATGCATTATTTTATTTGGTTCATTCTCTCGTTAACGAAAATCCAGGAATCGTGTTTAATGTTTTTGTTTAAATTATCAACTTATCATTGAAGGATTTCTTCTGTGTTCTTGCAGGCGACCATGCCGTCAACCTTTAAGCATCCGGCTCATGTGCCTATGTGGAGAGGGGCCAAAGTTGCTTATTTTTTCATTGCCTTGTGCTTGTTCCCTATTACCATTGGCGGTTTCTGGGCTTATGGGAACCTTGTAAGTTACACAAACTTAATTTTCTCTAGTTCTCACAAATAATAGGCAATAAAATTGACTTACACACTCTATAGCGTCCTAATTGTATTAGAGTATTCGCAGCAACTATTGAATTGCACTATACATGAGACCTGGGAATATTAAAAATAAATTAACAGGAAAAAACCTTGGCTACATGACTACACCTGAATTCCAAATTAAACCAACAACTTCGTTCCTGCCACCAATTTTTAAACTATGATTCAGTTTCAGAAAATTTGAAATACTATCATCATCGCTGGTGATTTATAGTCATTCAGAGTAGATCCAAGATTAGCGTTAGGATTCTAATTTTAACCATTTTGCATCTTCCAATGGTTCTAGTCACATTGGTAGAATATGAGATATATCCCAACATTTAATCAACTATTTATGGTTTGACTTTCTAATACGATTATGCTATTGTACAATGCAGTCATGATAGATTAGTTACAATTGTTTTTTGATTCCTGCAGATGCCATCTGGGGGAATCCTCAACGCCTTGTATGCGTTCCACATTCACGATATTCCTAGAGGGCTTCTTGCCATGACCTTCCTCTTAGTTGTGTTCAATTGCTTGAGCAGTTTCCAAATCTACTCCATGCCTGTCTTTGACAGCTTTGAAGCAGGCTACACAAGTCGCACGAACCGCCCCTGCTCTATATGGGTCCGATCTGGTTTCCGAGTCTTCTATGGGTTTGTCTCGTTCTTCATTGGAGTGGCACTCCCCTTTCTCTCCAGTCTGGCTGGTCTGTTAGGAGGACTTACACTTCCAGTCACATTCGCTTACCCTTGCTTCATGTGGGTTCTCATTAAAAAGCCTACAAAGTACAGCTTTAATTGGTACTTCAATTGGATCCTTGGTTGGTTGGGAATTGCCTTTAGCTTAGCCTTTTCCATTGGAGGTGTGTGGAGTATGGTCAACAGTGGACTTAAGTTGAAATTCTTCAAACCCAATTGAGATGTGATCAAGAAGCAGCTAAATGATATCAAGTGATGCTATAGGAACGAGCCATGTTGTATTGATTTTTGCTATAGATTAAAATACTGAGTGTATGCTATATATGTTACTTATGGCACATAATTAAATGTGTGATTGGTGAGTTGCTATCTTGTACTGCTTCTGCAATTTGTCTTCTCCTAAGTGAAATGATGAAGAGAAGAACTATTACTTGTTAGTTTGTCAATAACTTTGCCTAGTCATTGCTTGACATTTGCCCTGTTTCGAAGCATCAAACAGCCCAAAGATGAGAGTCTAAAACACAAGAACATGATTTTCTATATAGTCTCGTCCTCTCAAATAGTGAGGTTTTGTGTTTAATGTACATAGACCTTTTGCATATTGTTGAGCAGAAGTTGAATTGATCCCCCTCCTTTTAAATTCTCAAAGTAGCGCTAGGTGGCGGCGTGAGGACACGCAACTGACCACCCAAATAACGAATTCGACACATGAGGATGTCCCGAAGCTTCTTTTGAGATTGCTTGTGCTGGGCCATTGTTCTCGAGTACCTATAATTTGAGTTGCATCCAACGATCCGATTCAGAGATGACCGATCAAAGTACATGAAGAAACAACAAAGAAAGTTGGTGAAACTAACGCATATACTTATCCACACTCTTACTTAACGAACTTTTAAGAAGATAAGTTAGGTCGCATGGCAATTAGTACGACTGGTAGCATTCAAACAATTTACTATATAACATATGCAATCAACTAATTTTGTCAACTTAAATCAACTCATTAAAGAGGACAATATTGATCAACAAAATAACAGAGACATAAAATTAAGAACGCCGTTCACAACCATGATTGCTATCAAACTATTAAAATACACGATTGGGAACATAGAATGAAAGAAAGATAAGATGGTCAGGCATAATAACCGCGCATGATGAAGGAGAAGTCAAATGCTGTCCAAAGTTGAAACAGTGGCAAATCATATTCCTAAGAAGGTGGGGTTACAAAATGATGATGGATGCTTCCTGGAAAGTGGAGGCGATTATCTCCATGCGCTTTTGGTGGGGCTGTGAATTGCGCTGTACTTATGTTTGGACACTTTAATTAAGATTAAAACGCGGGTTTTTTGGCGGAGGAGGGAATGACAAATATCACCTACACCAATCATGGACTGCCCCTGACACTGCCATAGTTATCGAAGTTATAATTCCTAAGGATTTTTCAATACGGGGAAAGAAGAAGCATATACAGCGCCTTTGTATATAGTATTTTAAATGTAAAGGAAACGTTTTAGAGATTGCCCAGGCTATTTTGGCGCTTTCTGCTTTTGAATAGTGACTAAACTAACAGTGTGTTTGGTAAGGTGGAAAATTAAAAAAAAAAAAAATAGATGAAGGATTTTATAGAGAAAAATAGAATTTTAGGTTATTTAGTAGTAAGGAAAAGAAGAAGGAAGGAAAATAACAATTTATAGGGCCTACTAATTTTTAATCCTTCCAACTTTGAAAAGAAAAGAGGAGGGAAAAAATTTAACAAAAAAATGATATGTAAAATAACAATTTTAACCTTCACCATTCATCATATTTTTATTTGTATTGAGATATTATTGTAAAATGTCTTAAATTTGACATTTTATTTTCACTTTTATTTCTCTTCTACTAAACAATACGCGAGAAAATTATTTTACTTCATTCACCTAAGTATTTTACTTCTCTTTCCTTCCTCTTTTTTATCCATCCAACCAAACATAGCATAACTTATATATTAGTCTTATTAAAAAAAAGCACATTAATCGGATCAATTATATATTAAAACCAGTTGTGTGGCGTGTGCAATGAATCTTGACCTCACAGCGAATAAATGGCTTTATTAGGGGGGGAAGAAGCTTTTGTAAACTACAAGATGGCCAATAATGGTCTCCATTAATACTAACAATAAACGACCGATGTCCTTGCGTCTATAAAAAAATTCAAAGAAGATGAAATGTTGTCCATAGAATATTTAAAACAAACACAATTAATGAGACAATCCGCGAATATATTATGAAAATTGTTGACTCCGCAATGACAATATCCTCATTAATTCAGCTGAGTAGACTTCTAGAAAATGAGATTCCACCACCAAGAGCCGTTGACATAACGCATAGTTTCAGCGAATTGCGTTATATAGTCACTGGCATTAATATAAACAATGTCATACACTATCAGTTCGGCCCCGCGTGAAGTGCCTTATGTCATCGACACTTGCACAAGGTAGTCTTTCCATATTTTGAGTTGTTTCTTCATGATGAATTTATTAAGCATAATCATAAGTACTGCAAAATAAAAACCCTACACGTGCACGGAAGTTAACAACCCACATTAACTAAGTGGATGTCGACTAATCAATACACTGCTGAACACATTTTAGTACATGTGAAAAATGCAAGGAAATAACTCGTTTCCTAGGAGGAAAGAAAAAAAAAAAGAGGCCAGGGCTAATTTTTATGAGAGAATTTCTAGTTCTCCTGGACATCGTTAGATTAAAATTTTTTAATTATTAAATATATAAATTTAAAAAATGAATTTAACGAATGAAAAACTTAACGGTATGTCAAAAAATCGCATATTTGTTTACGTCATATTTATGACCAAATTAAAAATAAAAATAAAATAAACGTGCACCATGGGAGACGAAAATGTTTGCTTTCAGACAGGGCTCCAATAAAGAACATACTTTAGCTCATCTCGTTGGATACGTGAATGTATGCCACTAGCCAACATTGGTACCCAATACTTCATCTTTCTAATTTATTTTCTTTCCTTGGAGAAACCCAAAAGATTTCCAATAAAAGTTTATGTATAAAGTTCAATTTAAGATTTGATAACCATTAATTAATGTCGAACAAACTTCAAAAGAAAGGAAAGGTAAACACATTCAAGCTTTCATGCATGCAAACTTTAAAAAAGATAACGCATTTCCTTATCGCAAGTACCCAAAAGCAGTTGTTTTCTTTTGTCCAATCTCTCGCACCTGTTTCCGTCCAAGACAAACGGACCAAAAAGATTTACAGAAAAAAGCCAGTAAAAACAAAACTCTAAGAAAAAGACTCAGAATAAGCAACTACCCCTTTTTTTTTTTTCCCCTTTATCCTATACTCTATACCAACCACAAACTGACCAAGCCCTAAAAAAGCAAAAGGACAACTGAGAAGGAAAAAAAAAAAAAAAACGCAGTAGTACTGTAATATACTCGACCGACATGGAAATACTGCAAAGCAGAGAAACCATCACCACCCACCGCCCAAAAGGAAAAAAAAAAGGAAAAAGATTTTCCTCAAAACGACACATAACGTGTAATACAATGATAATCACTTCAAGCCCTTTCCGGTCATGGAAATGGAGAGGTCTGGCCAATTAGCAAAGCAATCCCCATCAACCAAATTTCCCTCCGGACCTCCATTCATCTGCCACGTGTTGCCTCCCGAACCACCATTTCCCCCAAACTCACCGACTTCAGGAAACGGCCAAACCCCCTTCCCGTACCCGAATCCCATTTCCTCAAACCCATTGTGCCCGAGTCCGAGCCCGTACCCGTATCCGCCGAGCGCCAGGATCCCCGTCGCTTGGGAATTCAGCAGCGAAGTGAAGCCGTGACCGGAGGAGGTGACGTTCTCGTTGAGGTCCGGGTTTGGATTCGGGTTCGGATTCAGATTATCGGGAGCGGATTCGGGCTTTGTGAGGGGCAAATCGGGAAAGATATTGGGTGCGTAGGTGGTGGGGAGAGGGTCGGAGGAGGAAGAGGAGGAAGAGGAGGCGGCGGAGGCAGAGGAGGAGGAGCGGGAGCGCTTGGAGTTCTTGCGGGAGCCGCCGCCGACGGGGACGTCACGGAGAGTGCCGCCGTGGGTCCAGTAGCGGCGGCAGGACTTGCAGAAGTGGCGGGGCTGGGCGAGGTTGTAGTTGTTGTAGTAGCAGAACTTGGTGTTCGTCGAGTCGCAGCGCGGGCACGGCAGCGGCGGAGGGTGGCCCATGCCCATCTGCTGCTCCTGTTGCTGTTGCTGATGATCACTGGCCGCCGGGCGTCTATGGTGATCCCCAGAATCTGAAGGCATTTTTGTTTTTGCTTTTTGTTTTTGTTTGTTTTGGAAATTTGGAGACTCAGAAAGGAGACAAAAGGGCGGAGACAGGAGAAAGATTGAGAGAGAGAGAGAGAGGGTTCAAGTTTCGTTTTGGAAGTAGTGAGTGGCTTTGTAATGGCGGTACGTGTGTATAGAGAGAGAAAGTGAGTGAGATTTTCTTCTTAGAGAGAGAAAAAAAAAAAAAAAAAAAAGAGTTGTTGGGAGGAGCGAGTGAACCAGCCAAACAAAAATACTTGAGAGCCGGTGGTGCGATCCGTACGATGTTTTGGTGCGTGGCTTAGCTTGTGCGATTTTTCCTTGGTGTGCACGGAATATCTGCTACGAACGTATAGTAGAGAATATATCTGCGCCTTCTTACGTGGCGGCTATTGATTGATCCAGGATTTGATACAGGTTTTGATAATAAGTAACCAGGGGGCTCTCAGAAGATAGAAATGATTGTCTCTTCTGTTTCCCGACAGAAACTTGCCACGTTAGAGTGTCCGCGGCGTGATTTTGGGATAACGTTAATTATTTTATGGAATTTTACTTTTGTTCGTGCAAAAATTTTGATCTATCAAGGAGCCAGTGCTTACTGCTTAGCCATTTGCTTAGATGTCTGTTTAGACTAGAAGTACAATACTTTTTGTATTTTCTTTCCTAAAGTAGATCGTTAAAATTTAATCAAATTATTCTATTGATAGAGAAAAAATAACATACTATACTGACTTGCTGCCGTGGAATTATTCATGTTCTAACAGCTTTGCGAGTTTATGTTAAGCAAGCTTATAGGTGTTGTGTCGTGGCCGGGGACTATTATTTGTTTTGTGACAAATTGCTATTAAATTTGTAAAAATAAAAAAAATATATATATATATAAATAAATTTGTCATATCACACCGTAGATCACGTTAAGTTTTGAGAATTAAAAAAGAAAAAGGAAGTCGGATAATAATGTATGTGAAGTACGAAAGACTTATTTTGCCGTAAAATGTAAAGTAGGAAATTGTTCTTAGACGTTTCTTTTTCCAGTCAAAATTACATTAGAACAGACAACTGCGTTTTCATGTGTGTACTTTTTTGTATTCACATATTTTCCAATACACAAATGCATTACTAGTACTACTTCCCAAAAGCAAAAAAGCAAACAGAAGTATAGTAGAGTAGCACAGGCAGAAAAATTGGGACTTGGGAAAGGAGCAAACGGTGGTGCTTTCATGCTTGTAGTGGGGAAAAACTGGAGAGGAATTAAGCAGTGAGGAGTGTAACCGCCAAAGGTGGAAAACCGGACAGGATGCTAAAGAGCAATAATTTTGAATTTTTAAGGAAACGACCGACAACATCATGCGTGTCGGGCAGCGTGGGAGGCCATTATTGGCTTTGCCTGCCTTATCAGTATTATGTGCCACCTCCTCAATGGCCGAATCTCTCAAACACTCCAAACACACACACACACACGCACAACACCTAACTTTGGGCCACTCATTATTTCATTTCCCCCTCTGCTCTCTCTCTGTTTACTCTTCCAAGATTCCTCTGTTATGGCCGGTTTGGCTCATCAGTCATCAGTGCCATCCCCCTAAGCCTGGACTGTGCCGGATTTCTCGCTTTCCCTTTGATTTTGCTCATTCCTCTCTCTCCCAAACCAAGCCTTTTTTATACCAACAAACATCAACCTTAATTTTATGTCCCCGATTTTGTTCACGCAGTTTGCGTTGATTAAAGCCCTTTGATTTGGCATCTCTAGGTGCATGAATTGAGGAAGAAAAGGATGTCTTCCAGAAATGGGATGAAAAAGATCTTTGTACCCAAAAGGCTGCTGCTGCACCTCATTAAACTGCACCTGCCACTCAGCAGATCATAGACGAGTAAGTTTTCCAAAAAAATTGTGTGTTGACTGTTGACCAGTTGAATGAAACAAACATGCAAACAAACAAACAAACAATCTAGTCCAAAGCCCGGCCCAGCTGAGCCCCAGTAAGCCGTGAGCCAGGAGTTTGTGTTGTAGCCGATCGGTGGGGCCCTCCTGGGGTGAAATGATATTATATTCTCTCTACGCTCGTCGCTGTCAAACTCAAGAGAAGTGAAGTGTGGGGTGGTGGGTTTAGGACAAAAGTCGGGGAGACGTGTCACAGTGTGTGTAGAAATGAGGCAAAGAAAAATGCTGATTGACTAGCGTCATTTTTTCTCTCACCTGGTTTATCATTCGTGTTTAATACGAACGATTTATTATCTCTTGTTTTATGGACAAATTTTATAAATTTCTCTTAAATTTTATTAATTATGTCAATATATTCTCAAATTTTAAAATGTATATATTGTAATTTTTAAATTTTGTCTCTTATATTAATATGCATTTTAAAAATAATGCTGTTAAGCTTTTTCTACAAAAATAATTATGCTGGCCGGGAGTTTTTTGATAACGCTATACTTTTTTGTCCTTTTTAAGCCCATTTTTTTGCCAGCATGCCCAGAAAAATTTGGCGATCATTTCAGCAAAATTTCATAATTTTTTAACGTTTTTATTTTATTTTTTCTTCAAAGATGAAAAATAAAGAAAACAAAAAAATAGAATATTCATCAAAAAGTTGTGCTGCTTGTTACATTAATTCGTAAAAATCTAATATTTATTTTCGAATGCAAAACATAAATAAAAATGTAAATTTTTCGCACATCCCGGCCCCTGGATGCCCCACTTCGCAGGCCAGGGGCTTTTTGACCGCGTTTTACTTTTTTTTTTCATTTTTTTAGCCGTTTTTTTGTTTGCATAACCAGAGAATTGTAAAGGACGTGTCTGTAAAATTTCATAATTTTTTTACATCATTTTTATTTTATTTTATTTTTCAAAGATGAAAAATAAAAAAAAACCATAAAAAATAGAATATTCATCAAAAAGTGGTGTTACTTCTTGCATTAATTCTTAGAAATTGTATATTAATTTTAGAATGCAAAATATAAATAACAATGTAAATTTTTTAACCATCTCGGCCCCTGGGCGCACCACTTCGCGGGCTGGGGTCATTTTCACAGCGTTTTTCTTTTTTTTTTTTTCATTTTCTTTGCCCTTTTTTTGTTGGCATGCCCAGAAAAATATAAGGGTCGTGTCTGTAAAATTTCATAATTTTTTGACGTCGTTTTCATTTTATTTTATTTTTTAATGATGAAAAATAAAGAAAATTATAAAAAATAAAATATTCATCAAAAAATGGTACTGCTTGTTGCATTACTTCCCAGAAATCGTATATTAATATTAGAATGTAAAACATAAATAAAAAAGTTTATTTTTGACCCATCCCAGCCCCTTCGCGAGCGAGGGGCTATTTGACAGCGTCTTTCTTTTTTTTGTCATTTTTTAACCCATTTTTTGTTGGCATGCCCAGAAAAATGTAAGGATCGTGTCTATAGAATTTCATAATCTTTTGATGGCATTATTATTTTATTTTATTTTTCAAAGACAAAAAATAAACAAAATCATAAAAAAATCAAATATTCGTCAAAAAATGGTGCTGCTAGTTGTATTAATTTCAGAAACTCGTATACTAGTTTTAGGATGTAAAACATAAATAAAAATGTAAATTTTTTACCCATCCTAGCCCCTGGGCGCCCCTCTTCGTGGACCGGGGGCTTTTTGACATCGTTTTCTTTTTTTCATCATTTCTTAGCCCATTTTTTGTAGGCATGCCCAGAAAAATGTAAGGATGTCTCCAAAATTTCTGAATTTTTTGACATCATTTTTTTTTTCAAAGACGAAAAATAATGAAAATCATAAAAAATAGAATATTCATCAAAAAATGGTGTTACTTGTTGTATTAATTCCTTAAAATAGTATATTAATTTTAGAATGCAAAACATAAATAAAAATGTAAATTTTTTACCCATCCCAGCCCCTAGGCGCCCCACGACGCGGGCCCTGGACACCCCCGAGACACCCCCGGGCGACCCCATAGGCACCCCCGGGGCTCCCGTAGGGCACCACCAGGACAACTCCTGGGGCACCCCCAGGACATTCCCGGGGCACCCCCGCAACACCCCCAGGACACCACCCCCAGGGCACCCCCGGCACACCCCTGGGGGACCCCCGGGGCACACCCGAGCACCCCCGGGACACTCCCGGGACACGCCCGGCCCACCCCCAGGCCACTCTCGGGCCACCCCCGGGACACCGCCAGGACACCCCCTGGACACCGTTGGGACACCCCCGGGGCAACCCCGTGGCACCCCCGGGGCACCCCCAGGGCTCCCCCGAGGAACCCCCGAGGCAACAAATTAACTTTTTTCATCATTTTCTTAGCCCATTTTTTGCAGGCGTGCCCATAAAAATGTATGGAACGTGTCTGTAAAATTTCATAATTTTTTGAGGTCGTTTTTGTTTTATTTATTTTTCAAAGACGAAAAATAAAGAAAATCATAAAAATAGAATATTCATCAAAAAATGGTGCCGCTTGTTGCATTAATTCCTAAAAATCATATATTAATTTTAGAATGGAAAGCATAAATAAAAGTGTAAATTTTTCACCCATCCTGGCCCTTGGGCGCCTTATTACGCGGGCGGGGGGCTTTTTGACAGCGTTTTACTTTTTTGTCATTTTTTCCAGGCATGCCCAGAAAGATTTAAGGATTGTTTCTGCATAATCTCCTAATTTCTGGACGTCATTTTTCTTTTATTTTATTTTTCTAAGATGAAAAATAAAGAAAATCCAAAAAAAATAGAACATTCATCAAAAAATGGTGTTACTTGTTGCATTAATTCTTAAAAATCTTATACTAATTTTTGAACACAAAACATAGATAAAAAAGTAAATTTTTGACCCATTCCGGCCCTTGGACACCCCACTACGAGGGCCAGGGGCTTTTTGACAACGTTTTTCTTTTTTCTTGTCAGTTTTTAGGCCCTTTTTTACAGGCATTCCTAGAAAAATGTAAGGGTCATGTCTGTAAAATTTTATTATTTTTTTATGTCATTTTTATTTTATTTTATTTTTCAAAGACGAAAAATCAAGAAAATCATAAAAAATAGAATATTCATCAAAGAAATGGTGGAGCTTGTTGCAATAATTCCTAAAAATCAGATATAAATTTTAGAATGCAAAACATAAATAAAAATATAAATTTTTGACCCGTCCCGACCCATGGGCGCCCCACTATGCGGACCATGGACACCCGTGAGACACCCCCGCGACACCCCCGGGGCACCCCCAGGGCACCCCGGGACACCACCGGGGCACCCCAAGGCACACCCGGGGCACCCCAGGGAGAACCCCAGGACACTGACGGGGCACCCCCGGGGCACACTCGGGCCACCCTCGGACCACCCTATGGACACCCCCAGAACACCCCCGGGGCACCCTCGAGACACCCCCGGGCCACACACGTGACACCCCTAGGACACCCCGGGGCACCCCCAGGGCAACCCTGGGAAACCCCCGGGACACCCCCAGGGCACCCCCGGGTCACCCCTTCGGCAACCCCGGGGCACCACCAAGGCACACCGGGGCAACAAATTAACCTTTTTTTTCATTTTTTGAGGCCATTTTTTGCAGGCATGCCTAGAAAAATGTGAGGATCGTGTCTGCATTATTTCATAATTTTTTGACTTCGTTTTTATTTTCTTTTACTTTTCAAATATGAAAATAAAGAAAATCATAAAAAAATAGAATATTCCTTAAAAAAATGGTGTCACTTATTGTGTTAATTCCTAAAAATCATATATTAATTTTAGAATGTGAAACATAAATAAAAATGAACATTTTTGACACATCTCGGTCCCTGGGAGCCCATTACGCGGGCCGGGGGCTTTTTGACAGCGTTTTACTTTTTTGTCATTATTTGAGGTCATTTTTGCATAGATTCCCATAAAAATGTATGGATCGTGTCCGTAAAATTTCATAATTTTTTGAGGTCATTTTTGTTTTATTTTATTTTTCAAAGACGAAAAATAAAGAAAATCATAAAAAATAGAATATTCATCAAAAAATGGTGCTGCTTTTTGCATTAATTCCTAAAAATTGTATATTAATTTAAGAATAGAAAATATAAATAAAAATGTAAATTCTTGACCCATCCTGGCCCCTGGGTGCCTCATTACGCGGGCCAGGTGTTTTTTGACAGCGTTTTACTTTTTTTTTTTTCATTTTTTAGGCCATTTTTTGCGGGCATGCCCAGAAAAATGTATGGATCGTTTCTACAAAAACTTCGTAATTTTTTAACATCCTTTTTATTCTATTTTATTTTTCAAAGATGAAAAATAAATAAAATCATCAAAAAATAAAATATTCATCAAAAAATGATGGTGCTTGTTACATTAATTTCAAAAAATCGTATATTAATTTTAGAATGCAAAACATGAATAAAAATATAAATTTTTTACTCATCCCGACCCCTAGGCACCCCACTAGGCGGGCCAGGACTTTTTGACATCGTTTTACTTTTTTTTGTCATTTTATGTAGCCCTTTTTTACAGGCCTACCCAGAAAAATATAGGGATCGTGTCTGTAAAATGTCGTAATTTTTTTACGTCATTTTTACTTTATTTTATTTTTTCAAAGATGAAAAATAAAGAATATCATAAAAAATAGAATATTCACCAAAAAAATGGTGCTGCTTGTTGCATTAATTCCTAAAAATCGTATGTTAATTTTAGAATGTAAAACATAAATAAAATGTAAAATTTAGAGCCATCCTGGCCCCTGAGCGCCCACTACGCGGGCCCTGGACACCCCCTGGACACCCCCGGGGCACCCCCGAGGCACCCCCGGGGCAACAAAGTAACTTTTTCTGTAAGTTGTAGGGGCCATTTTTTGCAGGCATGCCCAGAAAAATGTCAGGATCGTGTCTGCAAGATTTCATAATTTTTTGACGCCGTTTTTATTTTATTTTATTTTTCAAATACAAAAATAAAGAAAATCATAACAAATAGAATATTCATTAAAAATTGTGTCGATTATTGCATTAATTCCAAAAAATCATATATTAATTTTAGAATGCGAAACATAAACAAAAATGTAAATTTTTGACCCATCACGGTCCATGGGCGCCTCACTAAGCTAGTCGGGGGCTTTTTGACAGCGTTTTACTTTTTTTTGTCATTCAGGCACGCCCATAAAAATGTATGGATCGTGTCTGCAAAATACCATAATTTTTTGACGTCGTTTTTATTTTATTTTATTTTTCAAAGATAGAAAATAAAGAAAATCATAAAAAATAGAATATTCATCAGAAAATGGTGCTGCTTGTTACATTAATTCTTAAAAATTGTATATTAATTTTAGAATGCAAAACATAATAAAAACTGTAAATTTTTTACCCATCCCCGCCCATGGCCGCCTACTTCGTAGTCGGGGGCTTTTTGACAGCGTTTTATTTTTTTATCATTTTTTAGGCTATTTTTTTCAGGCATGCCCAAACAAATGTGAAGATCATTCTGCAAAATTTCATAATTGTTTAATGTCATTTTTATTTTTTTTTCAAAGATGAAAAATAAAGAAAATCATGAAAAATTAAAATATTCATAAGAAAATGGTGGCGCTTCTTGCATTAATTCTTAAAAATGGTATATTAATTGTAGAAGGCTAAACATAAATAAAAATGTACATTTTTGACCCATCCCGGCCCCTGGGCGCCCCACTTCGCGAGCCGAGGACTTTTTTACGGCGTTTTACTTTTTTATCATTTTTTGACGCTACTTTTTACAAGCATGACCAGAAAAATGTAAGGATCGTGTCTATAAAATTTCATAATTTTTTGACGTTGTTTTTATTTTATTTTATTTTTCAAAGATGAAAAATAAAGAAAATCATAAAAAAAATAGAATATTCATAAAAAAAATGTTGCAGCTTGTTGCATTAATTTTTAAAAATCGTATATTAATTTTAGGATGCAAAAGATAAATAAAAATGTAAATTTTTTACCCATCACAGCTCCTAGGCGCCCCCCACTTCACGGGTTGGGGGCTATTTGACAGCGTTTTTCTTTTTTTATCATTTTTTACCCATTTTTTATTGGCATGCCCAGAAAAATGTAAGGATCGTGGCTACAACATTTCATAATTTTTTGACGTCATTTTTATTTTATTTTTTAAAATTGAAAAATAAAAAAAATCATAAAAAATAGAATATTCATCAAAAAATGGTGCCGCTTGTTGCATTAATTCCTAAAAATCATATATTAATTTTAGAATGTAAAACATAAATAAAAATGTAAATTTTTAACCCATCTTGGCCCCTGGGCACCCCACTTCGCGGGCCGGGGGCTTTTTGACAACGTTTTACTTTTTCTAACATTTTTTTAGGCCACTTCTTATAGGCGTGGCCAAAAAATGTAAGGATCGTTTCTGCAAAATTTCATAATTTTTTTACATCGTTTTTATTTTATTTTATTTTTCAAAGATGAAAAATAAAGAAAATCATAAAAATAGAATATTCATCAAACAAATGGTGCTGCTTGTTGCATTAATTGCTAAAAATCGTATATTAATTTTAGGATGCAAAACATAAATAAAAATGTAAATTGTTTACCCATCCCGGCTCCTGGGCGCCCCACTTCACAGGTCGGGGGCTTTTTGACAGTTTTTTGTCATTTTTAGCCCATTTTTGTAGGCATGCCCAGAAAAATGTAAGGATCGTGTCTGTAAAATTTTAAAATTTTTTCACGTCATTTTTATTTTATTTTATTTTTTAAAGACGAAAAATAAAGAAAACCATAAAAAGTTAACAACAATTCATGAACAATTGTTTTTGTTTCTTTTTTTCTCTTTTCAACTTTAAATTTAAAAATGTCGTAAGTTTTCAACTCCAATTAAGATGAACTCTTTTCCTAAATCTTCGTAATAAAGAGAGCAATAAATCCCCACACATATTGCATATGTTTAATATCATTTACAATGAGGTTTTATAAAATTTATTACAAAACACTAATGACAATTTTTAACATTTTATCTAAATACAGTTCAAATTTTATTCTCAATTCAATTTATAATGTATTTGTGTATCTAAATACCGGTCTGACTCGTAATTAAATTACAACAATTCAAATCATCACAACTCAAACCAAAATCAACAATTTGAGTTGTTGAACAAAACAAGGCTATGACACTTTAATATTTGTTTGAACTAGACGTGGGATTTAGTTAATATTTGAAAACTTTTTGGGAGTATGTTCTTTTTAATTGCTCACTTCTTTATTTTTGTGACATTCTCTTACAATGATGTATTATTTTTTAAGTTTATGTATAATGAGATAAAATAAAGACAGAAATTTTGTAATGTCTGAATAGAGGGTATAATAAACCTCTCTTTCTATTTTGTCAAGAGAATGAAGTCTGGGCTTTTTCCATTAGAGTTTCTTGGTGGGTTTTACATTGTTTGTTATGAGCTCCTTGGTTTTGTCTCTCTTCTTCCGTGAGTAAGAAAGTATATATTTCATACTCAATTTTCGTATCTATAGTGGCATGGTTTGAATACATTGATATCTATTAAAATTTTGATGTTCACAATGATAAACTGATCTTCAAATCTTTTTGAAGCTAATCAATCAGCAGTAGAGAGTAACGAGTACACATCCAACGTATAATATATTGTAAGAGGTGGACCAACTCATGATGGATAAGTTTTGTTTTATTTATTATAACTATCCCCATTTTGTACACAGTCACATTCCTTCTTCCGCAACAACAACAACCAAAAAAAAAAAAAAAACAAACAAAAAGGAGAGACTATTTCTTCAGCGCGTCATCTAAATGTGTTTCCAACTCCTCCCAGCATCTTTCACAAGAGCCAACTAGTCCTATTATGCTAGTACTTCTCTTGGCTTCAAGATTGGATGCAATGGGTGGAGTTTGTGAGTGGTGAGTCCAACGGTGTCAACATTCTCCTCCTCTCCACCTTTCAGCTGCCACTCAAACTCCTGCACCAACCTCCCGATCATTGCGCACGAGATTAGCATCGCTTGAAGCGAGCCTGCACACACCCTCTTCCCCGCTCCAAATGCCATAGTCTTGTGCAAATCCATTGGATCATATTTCTCATCAAGAAACCTCTCCGGTATCCACTCTTCAGGACTTTCCCATTGATTCTCGTCCATGTTACATCCATATATGTTTATTGCAATCTACATATAACGAAAAAAAAAAATGATAAATAGACATGACCAAATAATTGAATATTATTGAAAAAGAAGTGGAAAGAAAAAGACCTCTGTTCCAGAAGGAATGTAGCATCCTCCTAATTGGGTGTCTTCGTGTGCATAGCGCAAAGGAACAACTGGAGCTGGGCTGTGCTTCCTTATAGTTTCATGAAAAACAGCTAGCAAGTATGGGATCTCAGACAAGCGATCCTCGGTCACCTTGTCGGATCCAAAAACCTTTTTGATTTCTTGATAGAGACAGTCCTATTGGTTTTTATATAAAATACAATTGAGACGTATGATGATGACATGATAGTAAACAAAATAGAAGAATATTAGGTACAAAACTGTGGACAAGTTAGAGAATGGAACAAACCTGCCGTTTTGGATCTTTAGCAAGTTCATACATTGCCCATTCTGTCGTGACCAAAGTAGTATCTGACGATTCTATGATTGTCTCCCAAAGCAACATACTTATTTGCTCCTCAGTAAGAGTTTTTGCTTCGGACAACAAATAATCCACATAGCAATTTAACTCCTGGTTTACATCATGGTGTGATCAATTTAGACATACATATAGTACTAAAAGTGTTCTGAAGGAATCAAACGAGACCCCGAAACACACACACACACACAGAGTATGTTACACCAAGATGTCAAATAATTCATCCACATAATACCTCAAAAGTAATCTATTTACTTAGATTAAAATACAAATGCATTATTTGTATGGCATTCATGACTGCTTGCTTTCGGAAAATCATTCTCCGAATCTTGTTTTCAACTGAATAAAAAATACAAATGCATTATTTACTTATATTAATTAAAATGGGAAACGACAGAGTACCTCTCCTGAAGCAATTCGCTTTTTTTGCTCCTTGATAATGGCATTCATGACTGCTTGCTTTCGGAAAATCATTCTCCGAATCTTGTTTTCGATGGTGTTGTTGGGAACCCATTTCAGATATGGGAAGAAGTCTCTCCAGTCGACCTCAATAGCACCCTCCATTAAATCAGTCACTAGAACCTTAAGCATCTCTTCTCTTGACAACTTCCCTCCAAGCTCCTCCACATATATTGATTCTATGTCCTTTCCTATGGCCTACAAATTATGACAATATGCAATAACCCTGTGGTATTTTATCCCCAAGTATTACTAGGAAAAAGAATTTGAATACTATATAAGAGCTTTTGACTAAAAATGAAGGGACCCACTTGTTTCAACGCTAGTCCAAAGAGTTCAGACTGGAAAATTGTCCTGAAATTCACGGCTTCACCAGGAAAGTCCTTAACATAAGCATGAAATCGCTTTGAAATATTTTCTGCCATAGCGTCTCTGTGACAACGGTGTTTTTTCTGCACACATGAGTTAGTGCCTGTAAGAAAGGAATAAAACACACACACTCACGCACATTACATATTATGTATGCATGCATGGCTGTCACAACAATTAACCAACCTGAGCATTGGGTCCAAGAACATTTGTGAGAATGTAACGTTTGACCATCTTATGAAAATCATTGTAGTCACTTGTCGCAACCATACATTTATCAAAAGTAAGCATTGTTAGTGCGTTTGACAGCTTTCTTGTTGATATTGATGAAAACCTTGTCACCATCGCCTGAAACAAACAAACCAGAACCTCCATAAAACCATTTTTAGTTGTTGACTAAAAAACTCAAAAATTAAATGGTCTCGTTCATTTCGCTCGTTCAAGTTAAAATGTAAATTCATATGAGATAAAATATTATAGTAAAAAAAAGTTAAATTTAAATTTTATGAGAGAAAATAATATAATAAAAACTTGAATCATAACTAAATGAATGGGATAAAAATGTATGAGTCTTTATCATCGTTAACCCGAGCAACTATGTTTGAAAAAAGTAGCAAATAGCACATGGTTGATGAGTTTTGACAAATAACACAATTTGAAAAGAATAATCCCATTGTAGAGTATGTGCTTTGATAAATGGACTTTTTTTATAATTTTTTCTCTCTATTTTTCTTTTTTTGGTTTCTAAAATAGGTCCCGTTTCTCATTAATGCCCATCGAAGGTCATTGACAAGGTGGGTTTTAATCCATCAAAATCAATTTTCAATTCATGTCTCAATTCATTGACAAGGGGGTCCGTTTAGTTTGCTAAAAGTTTTTAATTTAAGTTGAAATGTGATTTTATATGAGAATTTTTTATTGTAATAAAAATATTAAATGTGATTGTTCTTTAAAATTTTTTACTGTAATAAAACTCGAATTCTAAACTCAAATCGATGAAATGAAAAATGCTTAAATATATCTAAACATGGTCCAATCCTAGAATCTCTTTTTGGATCAATATGGCTATGCAGGTGTGGCCACTAGATCCACAAACTTTTCTTTTTCTTTTTCGGCCTAAAATAAAACCACAGAAATTGTCAACAATCCAATTGAAAGTAACATTCGTGACTAAAAATCAAGCTGTTTTCCAAACAAATCGATTGATATTGACATCAATAATGTGCGAATACAGACCAAGGCAATAAGACGTCTCTAGTACTATTCCTCCTATAATTTGAAAGCGAAATCATTCATTAGAGAGATAAGGAAACTAGTACCTCCTTGGCAACTTCGGCAGTATTTAGAACAACAAGAGTAGAAGCACCAGTTCTGATGGAGTATATGGGCCCATAAGTCTTGGCCCACTTGGTGAACGTCTTGTAAGGTTTCTTCTCCTTCAGTTGTAGCAAATTCCCTATCACCGGCAGCCCCGGAACGACTGAAAAAAAAGCTAACTCTCAAATAATTCCACAATTACCGCCAAAAATAAAGAATTAGCTTTTTACTCGTTTTTTAATTCACAACTTTATCGTTACTTATATAACTACTTCCTTCGGAATTCGGAAGCTCCAAAATAAAATATGCAAGTTAACGTGTACCGGGGTGTCGGGAATTTTTCTTCAGGTGCCATAAAAGTTTCTCATTAAAAAACAATACCAAAAAAAAAAAAAAAAAACAAGAAGAAATCCCATCAAAAGACGTACAACAAAGAGAAATATGATCATTGTTTAACCAGAGACCAAACACCCACGCCCAAAATGAGCACTTCTTTTTTACCATTTTTGTTAAATCACTGACCCCATGAGATTAACCCTGAGACTCACCCAAAGAAGGAAAATTTTCAATTTTTGAATTCTCTTCGACAGCGAAAATCATGGATTATCACACCCTATAAATTACACAAAAGAAAGAAAAAAGAGAAAAAAAAAAACTCAATTTGGGTCCGTTCGAGGGCGTCCATTCTCTCTGAGAAGCATCGATCGGCCGGAGCGTGTCTTCGGCGCGGCCATGTCAAGGAGCGTCACTTCGATTTTGCATGATTTTTTTTTTTTTAATGATTTTGCGTGAGATTTTGGCTAAGAAAAGACACCTTTTTCTTTGACAATGTTAGGAAATATCCTTTGCAACTAGTAAAATGAAAAGTATTTTGTAGTGTTACGGTTTTGTGAAGCACAAGTAATTTTACAAAACTACACAACCGTATATTGCAGGCACCACAGGCTCTTGACTGAGACACTACCACAAAAAATAAATAAATAAATAATAACTTTGAGAAGTATGATGGCAAAAGAATTGCAAGTATACCTGGGACAGGAGGGAGTTTGGAGAATCCACTCCTTTTTGCAAAGATGCATTTTCTGAGTGATAAAAACAACAACAAAGAAAGACCACCAATAGCCGCAGTGGTGGCAAAGGGCGTTCCTTGAAAACCTTCGAGGATATGTGCCGTGGCCGCCATGATCACTTTTTTTTTTTTTTTTTGAAGGATTTAAGGCTTTTTTTTTTTTTTTTTGTAAACAAGGATTTAAGGTTGGAGATAAAAATATATAACTTGCAGATCAGTACACACATTATATATATATATATATATATGCGCGCGCACAAACTCTGATAATTTAATTAAGGAAAGTACAGACAAACTTTTGGGGAATTGCATAAAAGGAATTGGTGTATGGGAATATATGGAAAAGTGTGTCACAAGGTTGGATGATGATGGAGGAATTTCACGCGTTTGCTAAAATACAAAAGAGAGTAATTCTACTTTCTTGAGAAGGTTGAGGATTCGAATATGCTTAATTAGCGATTCAACAGCCTTAACAAATAAAGAATAATATAGATATAGATCATATAGTCCTAGAAACTACTGAATCTGGACACTTGTTACTCGTGCGATTAATTCTTGATTTCTTTCCACGGCTTAATTTCAATAACGTGATAACCATCAATATGATAACCATTCCTTTGTGTTTTCTCTGAGTTAATATGTTACCATTTTTGTGCTCTTCCTGAATTAATAATATAATTGCCGTTTTCGCATTTGGTGTTAGGGTGACTTTTTTAGCTATTATATTACAGAATGAGCAATCAAATCGCAGCGACAAAAGTGGGGTTACCATTTTGTCTGGGCCTTGGGACTACTGGGCAAAAGACAGAAAACTTCGATGTCATGGCTACACACGAAAGTTTTGGGTAGTAGCGACTATATAAGAAGATCATCTTGTCGTGGCTTTATCTCATCTTTGTCCCCCCTAAAGCTAATATCACTTGAGATTAAAAAATAACAGCTCATATTACTACATTTATCATTAAAAAACTAAATATGCAAATCCAAAATGGTTATAATATTTCCCAAAAAAAAATAAATAAAATGGGCAAAAAATGTAATAACTGAATAACCAATGAGAATTTGTGCATGATATAATGTGATCAATAAAATAACATTCTTCTATTTCTGTCCCTTTTTACCGCTATTGTTAAATTCATGTTCATAACCTGTAGGTTATCACTTCGTATCTTACAGGTTATTTTCAATAGTAACACTAAAATATTGTGTAACGACATAAATAATAGAGTTGAAAAAATAATAATTAACTTTAAAATTTTCTCTAGCTTATAATTCATTCTTACCCTAGTTAGGCAGAGAATAGAAAGGTAAATAATATGGGAAATAAAAATTACTATTATTATCAAAAATAGAATTATGGAATGCGTGACCAAATAATGAATTTCCCGCTAAAAAGAGAAAAAAAATAAAAAAAAAATAAAAGGTAATGGAAAATCTGCCAACTCAATTTTACTTTAACATTCAACTATCAATGGAAGAAAATAAAATGCCAGGAGTAACAGAATATGAAAGATGAAAATGAAAGTAAATTCACCATCTTATTATTATTATTATTATTATTTACAACGTGCAAACTACTTGTGTATGGTATTCCAGCCAAAAAATGAATATAAAAGAACTATCTATATATGGTAATAGGGAATTTCAAAAATGTAGTCAATAAAGTAACACTGTTTTATTTCCTTAAAAAAATAATATTATTTATTTCTTTTACTCTTATTAAATTTATCTTATGTCACTGATAACTTGGAGGTTATCTTTTCATAACTTGTAAGTTATCTTTCGTAACATGCACGTTATTTTTTGTAATATGCATATTATATTTCGTATCTTATAATTATTTTCTATAATAATATCAAAATTTTATATAATAATATAAATAATAGAGTTAAAAAATAATGATTAAATTTAAAATTTTCTTCATAATAATAGCGTATAATCTACCCCTTATGTAGATTAGATTGGCCCAATTCTTAAGAGTCGAGGGTTGGGCCAAGGTCATCACATGGACGTAGATTTCATTGATTTGTGGGCTTTAAAAGATTTATTCTAGAGAAAATTGTTGAAAATAAATAGGCTAAATTACTATTTTCGTCCATAACTTGTCTGGTTATGAACCATAACTTGACAAGTTATTGTCCATAACTTGTCTGATTATGAACCATAACTTGACAAGGTTGTCCATAATTTATCTGGTTATGAACCATAACTTGACAAGTTATGGCCTATTAATTTTTATAACTAAAAATTGGCCTATATACTTTCTTAAACTCTTTATATTGACCTATTTTCTACTATTTCCCTTTAATTTTAATTAATATAATTATTTAATTAAAAAATATTATTAAAAAATAAGAGGTAAAAAAAAGATAACTAAATACTCCTTATTCTAAGGGTGAGTATGGATATTTATCACTTTTTCTCATAATCTAGCAATTTAGACGATTTTTAGACCCAAAAACATCAAATCCGGGGGGAGGGGGGAAATCCTATCCGACTGAGTCTATTTTTGAGCTCTTATAAATGCTTCAAATTTGTCAGTTTTGTATATTTTGTTTTATACTATTTTGATCGATTCTACATATAAAACATTAGTAAACAACTCTTTATATAGTTTAGTTCAAGCAAAAAACCTTATGGAAAAGGGATTAATTAAAAAAAAAAAAAACTTACGGAAAAGGGCCTAGTAGTTCAGCCGTATGTAGAGAGAGAAGCTCTGCAAGAACAAGCTCTCTGGGGTCGGTGGTCCGGCTTTTTAGGCGGATTGCCACACTCTAAATTTATTTAGAAAAATCGCAGAGGTCACCAGCGTAAGTTCGCGCCAACAAAATTGTGGGTAGTCATCCATTCAAGAGAAAGAAGTTGTGTACATTTGGGACTCATTTGTTACGGGATTCCGTTAAAACTCCAGAAACTACGTCGTAGAAAGTGGACCGATACGTGTGGCAGCCGCCGCCGGTCAACAATGTGTATGGTTCCACGTTTCTCCAATGTGGATCCATTTCTACATTGAGGATAGATTGTCACAGGGTTTAGATTCATTTTTCAATTAAAAAAATTACTCTTATTAGAATCTAAATCTTAAAGAAAATTGACTTTTGTAAATAACTACCTTTAACAATAATTCAAATTCAATTTTATTCATTTTCAATTTGGAAGAGATCTCTTGACTGTAGAAGATTTGATAGAGTTGAATAACTTACCTAATTTGATTACTGTAATTTTTATGTATGTATAGAGGCCAGCACAGGGCACGTTGCTTAACCCGTTAAATTTTTGTCACTGTGTGTTATCTTTTTTGTTTTGTTTTCTTCTTTCATTTGAGATAGTAGATATAAAACCGCCTGTTAGCCATTGGTGGACATATTTGAACTACTATACACACACACACACACACACACATATATATATATATATATATTTTTTTTTTTTGAAACCTAAGCTACACAATCTTCATTGGATGAGATGATGTAAATTTGATAGTTACATCTTAAAAATATCAACACATTTGGAAGTTTGGGGTGCCCTAAATAGTGTGAAGCATTTTTCTTGCTGGCATTTTAGCTGATCACTAATTCCTAAGGCCCCTCTGATCTGCAACATTCACAGTATAACTACATGAAATAAGCTGATGAGGAAAAGACACCACCCACAAAGACTTGCATGGTTGTCTCATCTCGATAATCGAAGAGGGGGTTTTTTTTTTTTTTTTCCATTTTTTAAAGCTTTTGTGGTAGCCCCACTAAAACTTGATCACTTAGATATTGATGAACTTTTTAGCAAAGTAGAATTTGAATGGAATTGACATTGTAGGAAAAGTTGTTCAACCAAAGATTAAAGAAGGAAAAAAAAAAAAAAGTGGACAAAGCAAAACCTACCAAATTCAAAAAGGAATCTGCTCAATTATTCAGGAATGGGGTCTTAGACCCCACATTCCATTGATAAAAATGATGTCTTTGTACTAAAAAAAAAAAAAAAACTATCAAAAACAATAAGGACCACTAGCATGCTTTGTGAGGAACAGCACTCAAGGCATGCAACCTCGTGATACGAACTATCTATGACTCACAATCTAAGTCATACAAAAAAAAAATGTTGATTTTAAGTTAATTATAATCAATCTCGTGGCACGTCCGAGATGTGAAAGTGAGGCCCTAATTAGCTAATAATAATGTCGGTTTTGGTCTGTGGCTTAATTAAAACATCTTTTTATCTATTTTTCCGGGCATTAAACTTTCAGAAACCCCATTTTGCTAATTAGGTCAAACTTCGTAGTCTCTGGTCATATTTGTAAGGCTCCCATCGCTTTAAAAAGGAAGAAAATGGAACAGAGAAGATATGTTTGCAATAAAGCTGCTGGTAAAAATGGCCATAAAGGCTTTGCATGTTTGGATTTGTTTGCCGCTATTTAACCTCTCGTAGTCAAAACTGGTCGTGTCGTTTATTTTTTCGTACACCACAAGTTCACAACAATAATATCTCTACGTACAATTTATTCAGTCGGATACAATAGAAAATCCAAAATAGACTAATAATTCCAAAGTTATGTAACTTTATATGTCTTAGTTTAAGAAAAACAATGTACATATGTACTTTTAGATTATGTCTTTGAAATTGTTAATTTGGTAGACTAAGGCCAAGGTGAACTTGCTTAAATGTTGCTGAAATTTATGAACTTGTAAGAAGAAAGTCAATCATGTCAGAGGGATCGAATTCTGAAGCGAGAGTACAGCATTACGAGATAATTGGGTATTATTTAAACAGAAAGATTCCCAAGTATTAAGTTTACACAAATTATATTTATATTTTCAATGCATTAAATCGAAAACCGTACGAATCCATGAATTTCGAGTAACACGATACAGACTACAAAAAGGCTTCGTGTCTGCACGTTTAAGGGGTTATTCTGTTGTATTTTTCAGTTATGGTGATTTGAGTGTAGATCTTAAGTTAAATTTAAATTATAATTTGAGTTTGTGTTTAAATGTGCACATTTGAGTTATGATTTAAATTGATAATCTATTTTAGTTTGTGTTTGAGTGGGTCAAAACTTAAATTTATATTTAGATAGTATTTTAATAAAAATTCAATGGTGATGAAAAATTTTAATAGGGTATATGGGTGAGGTTTTATTCGTCTCTTTGTTGTGAACGCA